GCCCCTGCTGCTGCCACACCCGCTGCTTTAGCCAGCTCTTCAAGCGTTGCTTGGTCAGGTAGTAGGGGACCACGGCTCTGCACGTAGAGGGGCTTCTTTCTCTTGAGGTTCCCTTTGTAGTCCCACGGCAGCCCACGCGCACCCACCACCGACTCAGCTGACCATTGCTGTTCGCGTGGCAGTCGCCTGATAGATCTTGACTCGAACGCTCCGTCGGTGGTAAGGACGATGTGGGACCCACTCTGTTCACTGAGTCCAACCCACACTCCTTTCCTCCATTGAACATCACCGCGGTGCTTGCTGCCTGCGTAGAAGATGCACTGTTCCCCAAAGGGTAGCATCTTGGCCCTGTACCGCCTCCCATGGACGATCTCGAACGGCGGGAGACCTTTGTTCGTGACAAAGAAGCGGTTGTGAACATAGCTTGAGTGTCTGAGAAACCAAGCGAAGATAGGGAGATGACCTCCAACTTCGGCCTTGATGCGCTCCTCCAGGTGGGCCTTCAGCGTGAGGCTGTGCCGGCGGATTGTAGACACCGCCTTCTCAGCGGTCCCATTGGATGCGTGGGACCCCCTCGGGGCTAGACGCACCTCTGTCTTCAAGTTGAGCTTCAGCCGGCAAGCCTCAACCGCAAAGAGCAACTGTTTGATCGAGGGCTCAGGGTCGCCCTGCACAACGATTGGCTCGGTTCCCGTCAGCATCATGCTCATCTTGACCAGGGCCTCGGTCGCTTTCTTGAGGGTGGTGGCGCCTTTTGCCACCAGAGGCAAGGCCATGATCCATCCCGTGCTTGACTCTGCGGCCACCAGGTTTAGCCCGAATTGGTCGCGGTAATCGGGCCGCTCGGCAATCTCATCCTCCTTGGCCTCGTCGTTGTTGTCGGCCTTCACCTCGGGCTCCTGGCTGTCCTCCTTGGTGTTTGGGCTTCGGGTGAACGTGTAGCAGTAGTCGATGTGGAGCACCGGGGGTTTGACTCCATACTCCTCGGGCTTCTTGTCCTCGGCCGCCTTCTCATGTGGACTCTGCCGCGACCGGCCCATTACGCAGGAGGCACACCATGCCGCAAAAGGCTGGTGTGTGATTTCATGCAGCTCTTGCTGCTTGGCTGAAGGCAGGGTTGGCACCCGCATGGCGGTGGCGTCTCGGTCTTGTTCGCTGAACACTTTCTTTGCTAGCTCTGTGGCCAGCTGCCGCTGCATCACCTCATGGTGCTCCTTCAGCCTCTTGAGCACCTTTGCTTTGCCACCACTTCGTGCCACACCCAGCCGTTGACATAGCTCGCGAAGGTCTTTGAGAGGGGTGGCCACCGAAATCACAACATTATCTATCACTGGGTCCTCCCCTCCTTGGTCCTCGCCGAAAGGCCTGCCGTCAGCAAGCACCTCAGGGGCAACTTCCCCCACACCTCCACCATCATCGCCTGGGTCGCCCTCGTGCGGCATCATGACGTCCTCTCCCTCGGGCGGCTCCTTGAAGACATCCCGGGGGTTCGTAAGGAGGTCGGGGTCGAGGTCGGCAACGTGGTAGAGGACGGCAACGTCATGTCTCCCGGCCAGCTCTGCATCGATCTCTGTGAGTGCTTTTGGGCTGGCTGTATACTCGTCAGCCGTCCCGCAAAACACTTGCAGCCAAACATCTCCGCGCTGCGGGCTCCCACTTGAAACCTCTTTGCGCACAAACACTGCCACAGAAGCCCAACCTGAAGGCTCCCAAATGTCACCTTCCACCGGCACGTTCTCAGTGCCATGGGCCACCAGGACCGGCAACCCCGAAGGCAGGATTGACCACCCCTTTGTGCCGATGATGTCCTCCATCTCCGGTGGAAGGGCCCCCGAGTCATACGCCGCAGTTGCCTTGATCTCAGCCTTGAGCACCAGGGTGTTCCTGCGAAGCCGGACGGGCAGTGCACAACCATCCTTCTCGACAACCTGCTGGGTGCCGTCGTGGGTCAACTTCCAGCCCGACCGCAGAAGACGGCCCAAGCTGAGGATCACATTCCCGACGTTGGCAAGGGCGAACTTCTCCCGGATGACGGTGGCATAGCCCATGGTGTTCTTGACTGCCACCTCGAGGGTCCTCGCCCCATGGTCCTTTATTTGCTTGCCCTGGGCGTCCTGCATGAGCACGTTGTTCCATGCCGCCACCTTTCCGCAGGTCCTGTAGGACAGGGGTGCCACCGACACGTCCGCGCCTGAGTCGACAACAACCTCGGCTGTAAAAGCTTTTCTCTCTGCGCTGCGCACCTGGACCATCTGAACCTTCTCGCTCCACCTCCCAGTCCAGGGGCTGTACTCCCAGTTGTGGTCGTCATCGGAGTAGTCCATAGGGAACACCTCGGCATTCCCAAAGGTGGCCCCGGCCCTGGCCGAGATCATGAGCACCTCCTGGCCGTCCAAAGAGAAGCCTTCAAAGTCGCCTTCCTCACTTATATCAAAGATGAGGGTCTCCCTGCATCCCGGTGGCGTGCTCATTGTGGCCACCCGGACTTGCTGCACCGAGGGTGTTCTGTAGGCTGTTGCGCTGGTAGAAGCCGAGGTCGAGGTAGAGGGCGCCACGGAAGCTGCTCCATCCTCGACTTGCTGAACCTTCTTGCCCTTCCCCTTGGGTGGGTGCGGGCACTCATTCTTCCAGTGTCCGCTTTTCCCGCAGTTGTGGCATTGGCCCGGGAATCTTTGCTGGCCTCCGCCTTTGCCCTTTCCTTGCCCGGCACCGCCGCCTTTCCAGCCAGAGTGGCCTTTGCCGTCGCCGTGGCCTTTCCATTGGCCCTGGTTGCTCCATCTGTCGCTCTTTCCCTTCCAGCTGTCACCTTTCCCCTTAGACTTTCCCTTGTCTTTCCCCTTCTTGCCCTTCTCGCCCTTCTTGCCCTTCTTGCCCTCCTTGCCATACACAACATCAACGTCCATGGGCTGAGCTCCTTGGTTGTGGCTGCTCGACCCGGTTGCTCCCGGCATGGGCTTGAGCGAGGCAAGCCAGGGGGCATTCACACTCTCATATTGCAGAATCCATTCACGAAGGTCTGCGTAGCGGGTCTTGTCGGACAACCGCAGTTGCACTTGCGACCTTAGCGGCTCGCTGAGGTTGCCGACGACGGTGGCAACCGACAGGTCCTCGGGAAACTTCTTTCCACTTGTGCTCTCATACGTTCTCACCGCCTCCTCGTAAGCGATAAGCTGCTCGTGAAGCCCGATGCCCTCCTTGAAGCTCCACATGGCCAACTGCTTCACGATGGCCAAAGTCCTTGAGCGCTCCTTGGGCTCCATCTCCCGCTTCAGAAGCCTTATTGCCTCATAGCCATTCTTGTCCTTCTCGAGACCCCGAATGATGATGAGGGGCCTTCCCTTCACCAACGAGCAGAGAACACTGTAGACCCGCTGGCTGCGCTCCACCGAAGCGTTGGGCATAACGTCATGATCGCAGGGGGTGTCGAGGTCGATAAGGTCCAACTCCTCCTCGTACTTGCTGTCTGTGGCATTTAGCCAGGTGCAGAACTGGAAGAACCAGTCCCTCCAGCTCCTGAGCTCATCTTCCCTATTATTGGGCCTCCAGGTCTCCACCTTGATGGCCTTCACCAAGTTGTCCTGCTTGTTGGCACTTGCTTGTGCCTCGGCTGCTTGTGCGGCGCGCTCCGTTGCGCCCAAAACTCTCGTGAACACATTTCCAAGAGCTTGCTCCAGCCTTTGGCGCACCAATGTGTCGATTTGCGCCTGCGCTGCTGCCCCCAAACTCATCTGCGCTGCCTGTGCCACGTGGGCTGGCTGTGCTCCTTGAGCCGGCTGGGCTGGCTGCCCTGCTTGCGCCGGCTGCTCACCATTCACTTCCATTGTAGCCTCTTTCCACCACACACCACCAGTTGAAAACTTGCTGGCCTCCTGCACGCTCTCGCCTTGAACCACGGACCCAACCTCAAAATAGCCTCTGCTCCAAACCACCAGACCAGTCAGTAGATACCCACCAGTCCTTCCTCCCACTGCCGCTTCTCCACAAATAAACAACTCCGGTGCCGCCTCGTCCAGAGGACTTACACGAAAAAGGTATTGGCCGTCGGCCCAGCAAAGGGCAGCGTCGGCAGCTGAGCTCTGGCAGATCGAACTGCAGCAGAGAAAGCAGAGGGCTGTTATGCGGTGAAACAAGATTTGCCCCAGGCCTCGTGTAAGGGCTTCCGTGCCTCCTACAGAGCCTCTAGAGGGGCTTGGGTCCTGGCCCCTGGAACCGGCCACCTCGTGAGACACAAAGGAATCACGAGTGGACAGAGCTCCGCTACCATGAAACCGTTTTCCAAGAACCACTGAGGGCTGCACAAGTCGCTTGCTGAAGCAATGCTTTACATATGCGGGAGTGCACATGCATGTTACAAGTTTTGTCGGTTTTTGCCCTGCTCTGTCCTGTGGATCGAGCATAGTTGATGGGCTTGAAGTAGATGTTGAAAGGCAGCCTTGCAGAGGGCAGAGGAGTCGGTGCATCGAGATCGAGCCGGCTCTAGCCCTGTGAAGCCCTCTGGCACCCTGCAGACAAGTGGCTTCTTGTCTGGGGGCTGCAGAGTGTACCCTCGCCACTCGTTGCAAGGGGATGAGATGATGCCTGGCGCATGCCACAGCCGGGGCTCGTGTGACTGCAGGCCTCGCCCCAAAGCGCTTCAAGAAGAGCAGTGCAGCAGAGCTGCAGGAGACCCAGATGGTCAGGCCGAAGACCATAGCCTCAGAACAGGAGAAGCACTCGAGACATCTCCAGACCCTCGACATACCTTTGGCCTTGTGGGTGAAGGTGGTCGGGGCAATGGTGTCCTGCAGGTAGGTGTTGGCCAGTCCACGAGCCCAGCCGTAGATGATGTCGCGGGCGACGGTAGGGATCTCGAGACATGCAAGCAGCCAAGCGCGAGCAGGCAGGAGTGTCACAAGTCGGAGCCGAGGCACATAGGCTTGATACAGCAGTGAAACCTTGATCTCCCACCCCATGCTCTTGCGGAAGCGGTAGTTGGTCACCTGCCGGCTGTTCCAATCGACGTGCAAAGAGTTGCGGCGATTCCAAGCTCGAGACCGGGAGCATGATGGTGCAGAACAACCATCCACTGATCAAGCCACCTGAGACCAGCATTGATCCATCATCCCCAGGATCTGAGCAGCCACCGGGCACCACACTGACTCCTGGCGACAGGTCTGTGAACATCATGGCCCTGTTGATGATCTCGAAGACCGGGAACTTCAGCCTCAGGGTTCAAGTGGTGCGAGCCCAGAGCCGGCAACACGTCAAGCCCAGTGCAATCGGATGGAGTTGCAGCATGGGCACATGTTCGTCGGGAAGGTGGTAAGGAAGAAGTTGGCAACGAGGCTGAAGGTCACCTCACTGTAAGCCTGTCGAAGTTGCCAGCAGTTGCCAAGCCAACTGGCCCGCCAAGAAAATGGATCAGCTGCCAGTGCGGAGCCTGCGCGACAGTCATTCGCTTCACCAGCAGCCGGTTCACCTAGGACGCCAGGCGACTCCAGGTACTGGCAGGTTTGGGGACGCAAGGACGGACCGGCTCTTGCTTGCCCAGTGGCAAGCGGCTCGCACATGGCGGACAAGACGGCAGCAACGAGGGCGGCCTGCTGCGATCTGAGCTGATCTCAAGACCCCTGGGGGCATCTGGGAGTCTGGCCGTGACTCCCTGTGCGGCAGCTGCGAAAACCTCAGGGTACACTCAGTGACAGCCTCCCAGCGAGCCCCAATGAAAATCCCAGCCTTGGTGAAGAAGGCGCCGGCATCCTCCTGGGGCGCATCATCTGCCACTGCCAGTGCCAAATCGCGTGGCAGGGCGCCAGTCGAGGTCCACAGGTCCCTCAGGGCAAGGAATTCGGAGACCAGAACGCAGCAGGTAGCCGCACGTGGCCGATCATGCGGAGCCGAGTAGCACTAGCCAGCACGCGGCTGCAAACAGCACCACGGGTCCGAGGCCGGAACGACGGGCAGCCTCGCATGTCAAAGCTTGCATCTTCGCACTGAGTCGCTAACTTTAAGTTTGGCTGAAGTTTGGCTCAGGTGCCATGGCTGAGTTTGTGGAGCTCTCGATGGCAATTTTAATCCCCTAGAGCCATGAGCCAAGATGACCGGCAGAAGAGGTGTATCCTTGCCCCGCGCCACGCACAAACAAAGGGCTCACACTCCAATCACCCCGGGCACTTTGCAAAACCAGCATCTTGTTTCCTGTGGAAAACTCGATACCCGGTTTGGCGCGCTCAGAAAACTGCATCACGTCCCGAACGGACGTTGCGCCTGCAGATCTCGTGACATGCAAAGTTCTCTTCACATCGGGTCACAATTGTGAGCCATGCGTGCCGGTCTGCTGCGCAGCACCTGGCACGCTAGAGCTCAGCACCGAGCATGTAGGTTGGGGACTGTGCACTTCGTGGACTCCCCATGCGTCTACCTTGGTCAAGGAGATGTGCAAAGCCACACTGCCATAGAGTTCACGAATCCTGTCAATGCTCATGCCCTGCCCTGCGTTGCGTTCCAGCCGCTTGGTGGCCATCACGATC